AACATTAGATCCTCATATCCTATTCTAGCTAAACATCCATCATATTTAATACCAAAATTTTCTAATCCTCCTTTCCAAATCCCTGTTTACCATTCACATCCAATTTGTTGCTGAAATTTTTGAAGCCCAGCCCTGCTGGCATATATTTAAGAGGAAAGAGAGATCAACATCTTTTAGTGGGTATTCAAATGTTTGAAATTAATCATTATTAATGATGGTTTAAGACTTTAGTGCGCACAATCATGGATTGAAAAATTGATATGCCTATAGGAGAGGGGACGTCATATCTTGCATGTTAAACTCCCCCCCCCTTTCCTAAACATGGCTAATTCATAGCACGCTATCCCCAAACTGATGTGCAAAACTAACATTTGGGAGCACTGAAAACAAGTTTAAACTTGGGGAGAACCCTGAAAAAAAAGTGTCAGGTTTTTTTTACAGATACTTGTGGCATCTGGAACAAATTAGGAGGCAATTTCTTCTCTGCTCTCAATTTATCTCCAGCCATTTTAGATGCCGACTCCCACATGGGAATAGGTAATGCTGGAACTGGATAACATATGGAGACATCGGTGTAAAAAAATTAAGGTTAAAAAACTGACAGGGAGATCAGAATTTATTTTTAATAATAGCAGAACGTAGGCACATTCAAAATTAAATTCCATGAAGTTCAATGGAACTTGCCTCTTGGTTCAGAAGTATAAAAGTGCATCATTTGCTAACTTTTTTTGGCTGCTATATGAGGTGGGGTCAGGCTGAGTGATAGTGAACGATAATTTAGTACCAGGGGTGGCCTTCAAAAATTTCAGCAAGGGGTTCTCTGTCCAGTTGCTGTGTGGGCATGGCGTGGTGGGCGTGGCCTAGTCGGCCTCCTGTATGACAACAGGGGGAGGGTTCCGCCTTCCCCAGGCTCTGGAGGCTTTCCTTGAGCCTCTGGGTGGGTGAAAACTGTCTCCCCGGGCTTCAGATGCCCTCCAGAGGCCCGTTGACCCCCCTCCCCAGCCTCCACACAGGCCCTGCACTTATCTTGCATTCAAAACGGGCCACATGGAGATTCCTGGGAGGGGTGGGGTTGGATGGGCGGGGCCAGCCAGGGGTAGGATTTTGAGGTTCTCCGAACTGGCCATAATGTTAGCTATGAGTTCTCCTGAACCTGGGCAAACCCGTATCAGCCCACTCATGTTTAGTACCCAATTATAGCAGAATGGGGAGTTGAAGGGGGTCTCCACTGATCTAAACCAAAACTCCAATCATGATACCAAGGGTCAGCAACCTGCGGCTCTGAAGCCGCATGTGGCTCTTTCATCCCTCTGCTGTGGCTCCCTGTCGCCAGTCAGCAGCACCACAATTTTGAGAGGAGCTTCCGGTTTGGGGCGGGGGAGTAGGACGTGCCAGGAGGAGACTCTATGGCAAGGGGTGGGTTTTCTGGTCAGCTCCACAATTGATAAGGTTTTCGGTTAGGACAGGGAGAGGAAAAAGGATGCCGCGCTAGGAGGAGACTCTATGGTGGGGAAACGGGACTTCCAGTAGGCTCCAGAATTGAATGGAGTGCTTCTGGTGGCTCTTTGTGGGTTTTTTTTCCTATGAAAAAAACTGAGTGTTTAAAGTTGCCGACCCCTGCATTATACATTCAATGACTAATTTCCCCCAGCTTTGACTTCCCTTTTTTTCATAGGAAATATCTGGAGCTTTAGGAAAATTAAAATCTTTACTGAAAACAATGCCAATGTCAGAAGTGAAAGAGTGGAGACTGGTTTTTCAGGAGCCTTGTTTCTAATAAATCAGGAAGCATCTCCATACTCCTTGGTCCACATCTGGCTGTCGTCATTATTTTGTGTGTGTGTCAAATAAGACCTTTCCTTGATGCCAGTAAGTGTAGGAGGTGGGTCATGTTGCTGAGTCTGCAGTCTTTCAAGCAATCAAAGTGTTTCCTTATTAGTTCTCGCCTGAAAAGCAGGATTCTCCCAAGCCACAACTTACACGATATGAGATAAATCTAGGAATAGATGTTTTCTCAGACGAGATAATGAACAGAGTTCTTTAAAATTGCTCCTTTGGCACCACCAGGGGAAAACGTAGAGTGGTTGCTGTTATAAAACTTAAGTATTTTATAAAGAGTTAGCAAACTGTATTGCATTTTAAAGTAAATGTTGTTCCTCCCATCCTTCAATCAGAGCATTAAAAAACTATATAGCCAGAGGTGGGTTTCACACAGGGGTGGGTTTCAACCGGTTCGCGGCGGTCCCCGTGAACCGGTTGGTCGGCGAACCCGGAAGTAAGTAACTTCCGGGAACGGCGAAGGG